TCGGGCCACCACGAATAGTACTGACGGACAACGGCACCAGCTTCCGATGGACGAAATGCGGGACATGACCCCACTGAGCTCAGACTAAGAACGCAAGCAAGTGGAACAACAAATACTCGGAGAGCGAATGGCCGAGTCCCTCCTCAGAAGTCGACCGTTAGAGAAAGATCCACCGACCGACCTACAGCCAGGAGATACCGTCGTGGTGTTCGTCGATCGGCAGCATCATTTCTCAGTGGACCGGAGGCTTCAATTTGTGCACATGCATGCGCGCGCACACGAATCATTTTTACGTACAGACAACATGGAGCCCGTTCGTGAGCCGAACACCGTTTGTCCCCGAGGCCTCGAGAACACCATATCCTCCCGAGGTCCCGTTTCGATATCTCCCCGCCAAGAGAAAGCGAATGAATGGTGACATTGATACGTGTCGATTGCTGGTTCAAAAGGAGCTGGGGCCAGTGCAACGCTAGTTGGCACATCCTGCATCGACTCTTACTTGGTCCCAGAATTTCTTGTGTCTGTCACGGGCTTCTTTTTCAGAATCGGCGGTGAGACAGACGGGCCCTGTGGCAAGACGCAAATTGGACTTGCCGTGGTCGGAGGACTCGAGTACTACGTAGACCTGTGGGTAGCTGCCTATGTACCAGCTGCGACCGTGTTCGCAGGAGTCGATCGTCTGGGCGTCGGCGACGAGCTTGAGAGCGTCTTTCTCGAGTTGTGTGACGACTTCGCTGGACAATCGGTATGACTTGAGGAGGTCGTTGAGGTTGACGACCCGCCAGAACGCTGCTCGTTCGTCCAAGTCGGACTTAATGGCTTTGCTTACTGCTTCCTCGGAAGTGCCGCTACTGGGCCAAGACTCACTAGGGTTTTCGGGGCGCCAAGTGCTCTGCCACGGGAATGGTGAGCACTTCACTCCCTGCTTCTTCGCCTCCTCCTCCACGAGCGGACCCATGGAGGACGCTTCGTCTGCCCATGTGCCCCCCGCCGTTCTCCGTACCGGCCACAGGGCATGAGGTGAGAACTCACCACCGCCCGGGGCTGCCACGGTCCATTCGTTGGGCGGGACGCGATGGTCAGCAGGTACGAAGTCCCTCCACTTAGTACACTGCGGGAACATGGTAGCGTCCATCAGACCATTCCATACGGGCAAGCTGTGCACTGGACCGGACTCGCATCGAGAGCAAACGGGTGTTCCTGTAGACTTGGCCGTCACTTGACCCTGGCTGATATCAAGCATCGGACGACAAATGCCCTTCCAGGAGAACGACTTGTAGTCGCCAGAGGGTTCGAGTCCGCTGTAGGTCTTGAACAACGCCTCCCGCAACTCGCCCATAGTCTTCACCGCGGTCTTCAAGGGGGCCAGGATATCCGCGCTAACCCGTGGACCGCCTTTTGACTCAGTCAAGCGGCCTTCGTTGGCAACTCTGCTTAAGACCTTCTGAACCATGTGAACTCGTTCAGCCTCGTCGGATACCGACTGAAAACCATCGTACTCCTTCGCGCGAGCAAAGTCCAGTTTCACGACCGGATGAATGTCGTGAACCAAATGGATCTGATTCTCGCTGAACAAAGTCTCTTCGTTCTCCGCCAACAGGTCCACAGTCTGCAGGGCGATGGTCAGAAACAGCCGGGGCGTGATCCGATCTGCCTTGCCGAACCCTAATCGCGTGCACTCGGGCATCGGAGAAGGACAACCGTAACCACCGCCAGCTCGGCGGTCACACACAATGCGCTCGTTCGCAAGAGACCCGCAAAGCTCCTCGCCCGGCCCAGCAACGTCAAACGTCACTCCAGTCAGCACCGACAACAGCGGCGACACCCCCTGCCCACCTGTAGCACAATCCCCTCTCATTGATCTCAATTTTTCAACACCAAAAAAATTTCGACCAAAATTGGAACCAAACGATTTGTGTGCTGAATACGTTCCGAGTGTCGTGAACTCGCTACGCAGGAGTTGGGGCTTACTTCCTTCATGTACTCGCATGGCATCCCGCCAGCGACTACGGCCCTGTCTCTCCCGCTTCTCATCCAGTCAGCACGAGAGGTACAACAAGCCACCGACGTACTACCGACGTACTACCGACGTACCACCGACGTACTACCGACGTACTACCGACGTACTACCGACGTACTGACCCTTGACTCGGTTTCTTTGTTTTCCGGCCAAGAGACATTGCGGTCCGACAACCCGGACATCCGTGCAGGCCGACACTTGGGGCGCGTCACCCCCTCGCGAA